GCCGGGCACGTCTGGCAGGGGGTGCAGAGCGGGCGTGCCAGGCGTGCATGAAGCTCAGCGGCCACCTGCCCAACCTGGCGGTACATCTTGGCGCCAAGCTGGCGGTCACAACATGCCCCCCATCCCTCCCCCCGGCCGCAGAACTACACCGTGAAGAAGCCTCAGAACGGGCGGCTGAGCAACACGACCACGCTGGTGGTGTGGGAGACGGGGCTGTTTGGGGCGGAGGTCACCGTGAGCATCACCAACACCCTGGGCTCCTGCTCCCTGCCCTGCTCAGGTGTGTGTGTGTTGGGGTGGGGGGGTGCTGGCACGCTGGAGGGGCTGAGCCGCACAACATGCTCGCCCTGCTGCTGCAACACATCTGGGCCACCCGGTTGCTCATGAGTGGGCTGCCTTACACGTGTGTGCACGCAGAGGCGGGGATGAAGCCAGACTCTGCGGCAGTGACCACCAACTTTTACGACATGACCTGGCAGCTCAACGTCAGGCAAGTGCTCACAGTGTGTGGGGGCGGGGCGCGCCACTCTGCCGCGGGTTCGCAGCCAGCCAGCTGGGTGCCTGGAGCTGCTGCCTTTGGGGCATCACTCTCTGACATGCGCGCACGTGCCCCCTGCCTGCAGCGCCTCCGCCTTGTTGAACCTGAACCCACGGGGCAGCACGGCGCGGCCGGGCGACGTGCTGGCGCTGCCCTGCTACCCTCCCGGCCAGGAGGCCCTGGCCCCGTCCTACTTTGGAGGCAGCACCGCGTACCTGCGGGCAAGAACATGCAGCTGCTGGGACACACTGGTTGTTGCTGGTTGGGCCGCTGCTGCCGCTGCTGCCGGCATGGCAGCGGCTCCCACACGGCATGCGCCTGACGTGCTGGCTTCGGCGCTGCCGCCGCACCTGTTGCTGTGTGGTGCAGTACTCTGGAGGTAACCAGCGAGCGGGCCCAGAGGGCCTTGGAGGAGCCATGGCAGCCTCGGGCACGAATGACCACCCACCAAACCTGTGAGCCAGTAGGCGGCGGCTGCGCGTGCGCCGCCCAGCCTGTCGCTTTCCGCTCCCCCACGCCTGGCCATTGCAGCATGCACACACTCTTGCACCAGGCCCCTGCCGGCCCCTGCTGCACGGCAGAGCCTGCTGAGCCCCTGCCGCAACGTGTTCCCGCCCGTGCCGCAGCAACGACTTTGACAACCCCTACACCGGCAGCCTGGCGCCCAACAGCGGCAACACCAGCCAGCCGCCCACGCTGGTGCAGCCCGTGTGGCTGTTTGTGGACATGGAGGCGGAGTTTCAGGTGGGGGCAGGTGGAGCGGCGCCAATGTGCCGGGGCCGCCGGCCTGCTTCATGAGTGTGTGGTTGTTGCTGGCAGGCATGTATGGGCTTGTGGTGGTGGTGGGAGGGCGCCTCGCGCGTGGCAGCACCTCTGGCTGCCTCCCATCCATCCACCCGCCTGCCTGCCTGCCTGACTGGCGGCCTGCCGCGGTCGGCCCTGCACCCCCTGGTCACCGCTCGCGCCTTCCTTGCCCGCCCCTGCAGGTCTCCACGGTGGTGCTGACTGCCGGCGGCGCCATGAGGAACGCCTCGCTCTTCATCGGATCCAACAACGCATCGGTGCAGAGCAACGCGCTCGTGGCGGTGCGCAGGGCCCCCGCCTCCCCCGCCTGCACTGGCTGTCCTTGCGGTTGCTGTGTTTGCTGGCAATGGCTGCTGTTGCTCTGCTGCCCTGCCCACACACACGGCGCCCCGCCCCGCCGCCACACCCACTCAGCCCATCCCTGTGCGCGTGCCCCTGCCGCCCTGCAGTGGGGCCTGGACTTCGCGCCGCGGGAGCAGGCTGCGGTGGCGGTGGGGGGCGCCAAGGGGCGCTACGTCATCGTGTTCACCGGCCTCGAGGGCGAGGCAAGCAGGGGCGGGGTGGCCTGGGGCTCTACTTGACTCGGCGCGCCACACCCACCCTCCCCCGCTTGCACACCTGCTGGGCTTGTTGAAGCCTTGGCGGCTCCTGCCCGTGCCTGTGCAGGGCGAGATGAGCGTTTCTGACTTCCAGGTGTATGCAGACGGTGAGGCAGCGCAGCCCTGGCCCTCCACACAGCTGGTGGTTGGTTGTGGGCAGCCAGCAGCCAGCCAGCTGGCCGGCAAATGTGGGCTGGGCAGCCGCTGTAGCCACACCCGCATGGTCGGCTGCTCGCCTGCCTGGCTACTGGCCCACCTGGATGCTCCTCCACCCGCATGCCTGCCTGCCTGCCGCAGAGACCAACGCGGCCACCAACAAGGGAGTGGATGTGTCGGGGCTGGGCGCCTCGCCCGCCGGCTTCCAGCGCCGGCTCAGCGCCGACTCAGCGCCCTACCAAGCCCTGGTGGACGGCCTCTCCGCCTCCTGCACCTCGGTGCGGGCAGACAACCAGAGCAACACAGGTGCGCGCCGGCGGGTGTGGGCGCGCTGGCAGCAGCGGCCGCACAGCGGTCTGTCACTCCGGCCGCTGCGCCCCTGCTGCTGTCCGCACACACCACAAGCGCCACACACACATCACACACACACTCTCTCTCTCTCTCTCTCTCTCTTCGCCCTCCCGCAGCCTGGGTGGCCATTGATCTGGGCTATGCCGCCACCGTGGGCGCTGTGTCTGTGCTGTCTGGCCCCAGCGTGGCCGCCGGCACCATGGCCCGAGCCTACGTGCTCGCCAGCCTGGACGAGGGCTTCCTGGGCAACCAGGCCTGCGGCAACGCCGGCATGGTGCTGTCGGGCGGCGGCTGGTCTGCCACGCCCTGCAACGCCACGGGCAGGTGCGGCCCTGGCTGGCACGCCGTTGCTCGTGCCTGCCGCCGCCTGTGGGCCGCCGGCTTGTCCCAGGGAGGCAGCCCCATCAGGGGGCTCTGGTCCTGCTGGCATCTGGCGGTGACGGGATGGGTGGGTGGCTGCCCTGGCGCTCCCGGCGGGCCCGCTGGAGCACGCCTCGGGTGCCCAGCCTCACCCGCCGCTCTGCCCCTCGCCTTGCCGTGCAGGGTGGTGGTGGTGACCATTCCGGCGGTTGGGTCGATAGACTTGTGTGAGGTGCAGGTGGCGCTGACGCAGGCCCCTAGCGCAGCCGGCAACATCAACGGCAGCGGCAGCACGCCGCCGACTGGGGATGACGGCGGCGGCGACGACGGCAGCAGCAGCAGCAGCAGCAGCCTGAGCACCGGCGCCATTGTCGGGATCGCGGTGGGCGGCGTGGCGGTGGTGGTGCTGGCGGCGCTGCTGGTATGGTGGCTGCTCAGGCGCAGGGCGGCCCGTGCCAGCCATGGCAGCAAGCAGCACATGGCAGACTGGGATTCCGAAAAGGGAGCCGCGTCTGACCAGCCGGTGTCTGACCAGGCAACCGGCGGCAGGACGCCCGGAGCGGCGCCCGACTCGGAGCATGGCAGCGCAGCGGCGGCGGCGGCGGCCGGAGCGGCGGCCGGCGGAGCGGCGGCGGCAGCGCTGCTCCCAAAGGGCGGCAGCGGCGGGATCGCGCGGGTGAGCTGCAGCAGCTCGGCGGCCCTGTGCTGCTGCCGGTGCAAGCGCTGGCACGGCAAAGGGCTTGTGGGCTCTTTTCGTCTGGCGTGGCTCAAGCTTCCCCCTGACACCCCCACCCCTCACCTCTGCTGCCTCCCTCCCGCAGTCTGCCTCGCAGTCGGTAGACAGCGACCCCGCCCTCGCCTCCAACAGCAGCAGCACGCGAGTGCCGTACGGCACGCCCGAGCCGCGCGGCAGCCTGGATGCCAGCGTGCGTGCCACCAGCCTGGATGTCGCGCGCGGCAGCAGCGGCACGCTGACCGACGCCGCCATCACGGATCTCAGCAAGCTGCCGCCCGGCTTCAACGACGGTGGGCTGCGGGGAGGGCAGCATGCTGCTGGCCTGCCGAGCGCGAGAGAGAGCTCTGCCTGCCCCTCAACCCCCTGGCCAGTGACAGATCAGTGTGTGCCCGCTCCACTCCTTGGCTGCAGTCGCGTCGGAAGAGTTCGAGTTGCAACGAACGATCGGCAGCGGAAGCTTCGGCGAGGTGACCCGGGCGCTAGCTGCACACACTCCACTGTCTTACACTGCTGCTTGCGCCTGGATGAGCGTTGCGACCCTCCCCCATCCCTGCCATTCCCTTTCGCAGGTGTGGCTGGCTCGCTACTGCGAGACAAATGTGGCGGTCAAGGTGTGCACGCCCTCCCTGCTGTCCTGCCTCGCTGTTTTCTGCTGACCTTCTAGCTTGACCGCGCAGCCAGGGTTGGCGCACCTGATCATCGCACCCTGCCCCCCGGCCCCTGCCCCCGCAGATGCTGACAAACAAGAACACGCCCAATGCCACCTCCACCATCCAGCAGCAAACCGCGCTGAGGAACCTTCACCAGGAGGCGGGGCTGATGAGCCGGCTGCGGCACCCCAACGGTGCGAATGCCGCGCCACAGCGCACAGCAATTGCGGGCTTGCACCAGCTGCAGCGGCCCACCCAACCCACCAGCCTCCCGGCTCCCGTGCCTGCGTGCAGTGTGCCAGTACCTCGGCGCGTGTTCCGACCCGCCGTGCCTCTTGATGTGAGTGCTGCATTGCCCGCGTGCCGTGCGGACAGTGAACCGCGGGCCATTGCACTGCTACCGATGCATCCCACCTGCGGGCTCAGCCGTGGCGCTTGGCACATGCCGTGGCACCTGTGCTGCATGCACTCTGTGCCGTGCACCCACCTCCTCGTGCCCACCCCGCCCTGCAGGGAATACTGCGCCAAGCGCTCGGTGGACTCCCTGCTTGTTGCCGCCCTCAGTGACCCCAAGGCACGGCCGCCCCGCTGGCTGGGCTGCCGCCCTCGCCTCCCTGCCTGCCTGCCTGCCTGCCTGAGTCGCACTCTGGTCTGCACAGGACCTCTTCTCCGTGTTGCCCCTGGCCTCCACCACAGTGCCCAGCATGTGACCCTGGCTCCCATGCACCCCTGCCCGCCTGCCGCAGGTGGCCAAGCAGCTGAGATGGGGCCGGCTGCTCAACATGGCGCTGGATGCGGCCAAGGGCATGCTGTACCTGCACACCCGCACGCCGCCCATCGCCCACCGCGACCTCAAGTCCGCCAACCTGCTGGTGGACAGCCAGTGGCACGTCAAGGTGGCCGACTTCAACCTGAGCCGCGCCCTGGAGTCCAACCTGTCCGCCTCCACGCTCTTCATCACCAACCCGCGCTGGTTGTCGCCCGAGGTGCTGAGCGGACACCCCGGCCAGCTGGCGGCGGATGTGTGGGCCTTTGGCACCGTGCTGTGGGAGCTGGCCACCTGGCGGCTGCCCTTTGAGCACATGAACCCCTTCCAGGTGCGAGCTCTGCCCAGCCGCGCCCCCCCCGGCACGCTGTGACTATCATGTGTGCTCTCCCGCTCAGCGCAGCCACAGGCTGGGCTTGCGGCACTCCACCTCTCGCCGCCGCCGACGACAAGCGCTCGGCGGTCGCCGGTCCCCATCCCTGTCCCCCCCCCCCCCCCTCCCCATGCAGATCATCACACACGTGCAGACCAGCGCCGAGGGCAGCGGCCTGGTGGTGCCGGCGCCTGGAGAGCTGCCCTCGGGGCCCTGTTCTGTGTACAGAGAGTATGTGGGGCTGATGCGCGACTGCTGGCACCGCATCCCCGCCAAGCGGCCTCACTTCGACCAGATCGTGAAGCGCCTCAGGTGAGCTCCATGACTGTAGTGTCAGGGGATGGCATGAGCTGCTGCGCTGGGTGGGGCGGTGGGGGGAGGTTGGCAAGCACTAGACTGATGGCTTGCTGCGTATCCGGGCCCCCCCACCCGCCGGCTGCTGCCTGCAGGGCCATGCTGACAGCGGAGCTGAAGTCGCAGCAGGCGGCTGCTGGCGACCGGGGCAGCAAGGGCGGTCGCAAACCCGACATAGGCAGCAGCGGCCTGGCCCCGCAGGGCTCTGGCGCCCTGGATGCCGCGCTGGCAGCAGCAGTAGTGCAGGGCGACCAAGCCACTGAGGCAGCAGCTGCGCCCGGCGGCATGCCGCCCACGGGCGTGCCAGCGGCAGCGGCGCACTCTGGCGGCAGCTACGGCGGCATCCCGCGCGTGCCCTCACGCGGCCTGGACGACACCCCTTTTGCCGCGCTGTCCCGCACGCAGCTGCTGGCCTCGCCGCCAGACGGGCCCAGCCCGCGAGACAGCTAGCGGCAGAGGCGCTCCTCCCTGCTTGCAACCCATGCATCATCCATTTTTGGCAGCACTGACAAAGATGTATTTGACTCATTATTAGTAAATGAATTGTTTGTGACACGTTCTTGGTACCATCCCCCTTGCACTCTTTCCAACCCCTGCGATCCCTGTTCAGCAGCGCTGTAATGAGGCCGTCAGTGCGGTGTGTTGGCAAGTAAGTAAACTACATTCCATTAGTGAGACGGGTGTGCCAGACTGCGCCAAGCAAGCAACAACGCAGAAAAAAATGGAAGCAAATTAAATCTAAATTCAAACAAAATGTACAAACAGACAATGTACAACCAGACAATTGCAACTCGTTTAATGCCTTCAAGCCGGCAAGGCTGCCGCTGCGGCGCGCGCTGCGGTTGCGGCGGCTACAGGGGCAGCAGCTCCACCTCCTTCAAATCCCCCCAGCTGCGCCCCATGCTCATCTTCACGGCAAGCGGCACGCTCAGATGAAGCTTGCGTACAGGCACGACCTCCATGCACTCGCGGACGATGGCGGCCACCTGCACACGCAGAGGGGGCGCGGGGGAGGCAAAACACACTGGAGTGGAAGCGCCTACTGCTGCCCCCGCATGCAGCTGCGGCACATAGCTGCAGCAGCGAGGGTGGTGAAAGGGGTTGCCTGCCTGCCAGCCCCCATCTCCGACTTGCCTGCTGCAGCTTGTGCTCCTGCACCTCTATCACCAGCTCATCGTGGATCATCAGCACAATTGCAGCGCCGCCCTCCCCCGCCTGGCCAATTTGGAGGCTCTCACCCAGGGCAATCATCGCCGCCTTCATCACGTCGGCCGCCGAGCCCTATAACCCAGCAGGGGTGGGGAGGGGCCGGGGTGCTCCTGGCACATCGCCAAGGCTGGGCACGGCACCGCTGGCACTGCCCCACAACACCGCTGTCAGCGCCGGTGGGGCTGCATGCAGCTGGGCTCTGTCGCACCTGCATCGGCGTGTTGACGGCCTTTCGCTCCGCCTCACCCCTGAGCCTCCAGCTCTGGAGGTTGATGTTGGGCAGAGGGCAGCGGCGGCCAGCCAGGGTCTCCACGTAGCCTGCACACACGCGGCGGCAAAGGCGCAGTGCTCGACTGGTGTCTGAAAGCTGACGCACAGGAAGCGAATATGGTGGGCAGGCCAGATGCATCTGGCGCCCGAGCATCGCCGCATGCAGTGCCTGCGCGTCCCCTTCACCTGTCTGCCGGCAGTCCTCAACCACCTTCTCCAGGAAGGCGGCCACCCCCGGCATCGACTCCAGAAACTCCTGTTTGAGCTTGGCAGCCTCTTTGGGGGTCACGCCCATCTCCTCCCCCAGGCGGCTATCTCCTGCTTTCAGGAAAGGGAGCAAATGTTGCTCAGGAGCACATGCTGCCCCAGTGCAAAGAAACAGAGAGGCCATCCCAGCTCCGTTTCTGGTTCCCTCCTCTTTTCTCACCCATTCCATAGCTGCAGGGGGAGAGGAAAGAGGGGGGCGAGTGTAAGAATACGCACAGTGTGGCACAGCCACAACTGCAGTAGCAAGCGGCAGTGCCGCATGGTGGACAGCATTCTCAGCACGGCAACCGCCTTTTTCACTCACATTATCCCATACTGCAAGTGCTTGATCAACTGCCGATCCGTCTGCGAAACCTGCGGCATGCAGAGGCAGGCGGAGCGACGTGAGAGATCGGTGAAGTCCAGTAGACACCAGATGAGGCTGGGAAGTGGGCAGCACCGCAGCCGACCTGGCCCAGCTCCTTGCCCAGCCATTTGGCAGCCAGCAGCCTGAAGGGGTCGTGCTGCCCATCCTGGAATGTGGCCAGCAGCTTCTCATCCTGGCTGCAGAAGGAAGTGAGAGGACGGCGGCGCAGCAGCAGCCACAGCACATGGTCAGCGGCGTGTCGGTGAGGCCTAGCAGCCGCCAGCACGCTTGCTGCCCAAGCAGCGGCAGCTGCAGCGATAGCCCACCTGAAGTGCGCCATCATGCGCAGCTCAATGGCCCGATAGTCCGCGCCCAGCAGCACGCAGCCGGGCGCGGCCACAAACGCCTTGCGCACATTGGCTTCCAGAAGCCTGCATGGCCGCAGCGAGCGCAGCAAGGTGACGGGGGTGGTGTGTAGCCGCATCCACCCCGCCGGCGGCACGGGCCGCCCTCACCTGTGCTGCCCGCTGGCGCTCACGTCGTCCCCCTCCCTTGCGGTGCCTTTCAGCAGCATCCTCAGCTCGTGCGTCCTGGGCACGCACTGAAGGCTTGGGTCATCCATGGCAAGCCTGCCTGCAGTGCCCTCCCTCAACCTCCCGTGAGCCAAAGCCAAAAAAAGGTTGCAGTGTGTGCTCCCATGCGGCAGGCCCATGCAAAGGGATGACGTGCTGCCCACACAGCGCCGCAGCAGCCCGAGCAGCACAGCCCCCGCACCTGTGTCGCTGTTGGTCTGGTGCAGCACAGTCCAGATTCGGGGCCCGCCGCCAGCCCGCCCAAGCGGCGCCGCCCCAGCTGCCGGCTCCAGCTGTTGCGCCAGGGCCGCGCCGGCGCGAGCGCACTGCAGCAGCTGCCGAATGAACCACACGCTGTACGCCAGCCTGCGGTGCTCCGCAATGAGCTTCACCACGGGGGGGCAGTCGGGGTTGAGGCGCACCAGCGCCTGCATGACCTCCTTCTGCAGCGCAGGCCAGCGAGGAGCGCGGATGGAGGCCACACAAGCAGAGCCACACGAGGCAGCTGTAGATGGCTGCCGCTCGGCAGTGGACGGGAGGGTGTGCGCGCTGGCATGGGCCGGCCGCGAGCTTACATTGGCGCTGTAGCCGCCGCGCTTGAGCTTCTTGGCGCAGGGCGGCGGCTGCAGACCCAGCTGCCCCTCCAGCTTCCCGAACAGCACGTCGGACACCTGCTGGGAGTGCGGTGCAGCCGCAAGCAGGCAGGAGTGGGTGAGCGGAGGAGTGGTGTGCCTCCGAGGATGCCGCAGCGCTGTGCTGCAGCAGCTGCACAGCGGTTGCTGCAGCTCAGCACAGCGGTTGCTGCAGCTCTCACCTCCTTGAATTTGGACAGGTCCAGCCTCCTGCCAAGCGCCCGAGCAATCTCGAGCTCAATGTCCTTGCGCCGCTGTTCCAGCTGGGAACGCACTGCACAACCAGCAAGGTGGCAAACGCAGTGTGCACACGTGCAGAGAAGCGGATTGGTCCCAGGGCGAGCACCTGCTGAGGGGAGGCAGCACAGAGGCAAACAGCGGCAGTGCCCGGTGCAGGGACTCACGGCTCTGCAGGTGCTGCGTGTCGATGCCCACCCCCACAGCCTCCATGCCCGCCAGCACAACAGCCAGCGGCATCTCCTGCATCCCAGCCAACAAGCGGCAGCGCTCAGCGCGGCGACTTCTTATTCCTCTCTGTGCAGTGGCGTCCCCGCCTGGGTGCAGCACACGGCGACGCCCCACCTGCTCCAGCAGCACCGCCATCGTGCTGCCGTTGATGGCCTGCAGCTGCGGCTGCACCTCCTCCCAGGCAGCTCGGGAGGCCGCCGCGGTGCAGCACGCATCCAGCCATCCTGGAACCAGCGGCTGCTGCTGCCCCGTGGCGGCCGCCTCCGTCAGCCCGGCACATGCGCCATGGTACCGTGCAGGGTGCCCCGTCACCTTGCTCAGCACAAGCTGGGCAGCCTGCAGCGGCCCGACGCCGATCCTGGCTGACAGGCGGCCGGAGTTCTCGGGGCGCAGCAGCCAGGCTGCCACGCGCACGTCGACAATCTGCGCCGGCAGTGCTGCGCGCCAGCCCGGCGACCCCGGCGGCAGCGCGGCCAGCTGCTGCAGGGCCGGCAGCTGCTGCTGCAGGGAGACGGTGGCCTTGAAGCATGTGCCCCGGCTGCTGGCGCTGCCGCCGCTGGCTTGGCTCACGCTGCCGGTTTGGGGGGTGCCGCAGGCGGCATCACCAAGCAACGCCACAAGCTCCGCAGCCATGCCGTCGACTTGGCTGGCACCAAGGCCGCCAGACAGCGGGATGTAAGCAGCCGCGCCGTCTGCCCAGCTCAGTGCTGTGCCCAGCAGCGCCCCTGGGGCCATCGAGGCAACCTGCTGCTGTGGGGCCTCCTGGTGCTGGGCGCCCTGCAGCTCATGCCGCCGCTTCCTGAGCACTGCGGGAGCCTCAGGCAGCAGCAGCTGCTGCTGCTGCATGTGTGGCGCCTTGCTGCCGCCGGGAGCATAGTGCAGGCTGAAGCCGATGCAGGGGAGGCCTACGCTCCGCAGCTTCCCGCACCAGCTGCGCACCTCCTGCTGGCTTGAAAGAACAAAGAGGCCCGACGATGGCAGCCCCGCTGCCGCCAGCCGGGCCGCCAAGTCGCCATCCTGCCGGCGTTGGGGCTGGCTGGCTGGCAACACTCCGTGCTGCTGCTGCTGCTGCTGGGGTGCTTCTGCCTGGAAGTCTGCCTCAGATGCCAGCCGGCGCCGCTTTGCCGCACAGCCCTCCTCGCTGCCGCCCGCCTCAGCACCCTCCTGGTCACTCCCAGCCTCTTCCTCCTCCTCTGCTAGCTCCTCCTCCTCCTCTGCTAGCTCCTCCTCATCCTCCTCCAACGGCAAATCTTCTGCATCCTGCTCAACATCCTCCTCCTCCTCCTCCTGCTGCTGCTGCTGCTGCGCAGCCTTCTCTTGCCGACGACCAGGCACCTTGCCAAACGGAGGCCCGTCTCCCGCCTGCTGCTCCCTCACACGCTTGCCTCTGCCGAGCCTCTCCTTCCTCCGCTTCCTAAGGCCTGCAAGCGCATCCTCTTGGCTGTTGCGCCGCACCCCGCGCAGCGGATCCTCCACCCTCTCGGCAGCAGCCGTCTTGATGCTCCTGGCTTTCTGGCGCCTCTGAGCGGCCTCCTGCTCGGTACTCCTGTTCCTGCTCGACGCATTTGGGCAGCGGGGAGGCTGCATTAGAGTAACATCAGATACAGGGCCAGTTGCGGCAGCGCTGCTCACCTATGGGCTTTGGTGTGGCTGAGCGCCTCCACAATATCCTCGAGGCGGGCCTCAGCCACAGCCTCCAGCGTGCACAGGCCTGCAGGCAGGGAGATAATTGGCACCGTGCAGCACAACCACCTGCCATTCAGGCAGAGCCTACCTGAGTTGAAGAGCAGGCGAGCGGTGGCCACATCCACGCCCGACAGCTCAGTCAGCGACGAGACCTCCAGCTTGGAGCCATACTTGATGTGGCGCTGCAGAGGGCCAGCGCTGGAGAAACATCAAGCAACGGCAGGCTGCTCTCGGCTGCTGTGGCAGTAGCGCACGCCGCTGAGCAGACCAAAGCTGGCAGGCACGAGGGCTGCGAAACGCGCCTGGAACTGTTTGAGCACCGCCGCCATGTATGTCCACCCCAGCCTGCTGGCAAACGCCGCCGCCTTGCCGGAAAAGTGGCTGCAATGCAGCTGCACCGTGGAGCGCGAAGAGAACGGGTGTTAGTCAGCAGAAGCAGCCCCGTAAGGTGCACGGGCATGAAGATGCGCTGCTGCCAGCTTGCATCTGGCTGCCGTGTAGCTGCTCCGCCCTGCCAGAAGAATCCTTGCAGAGGACCTGCTGCAGTACCAGCCAAAGGCCCCACCTACCCGCAGTTCCCTGAAATTGTCCAGCTGGAATTGATCCTGCACCTGCCCCTCGTCTGCCTGCAGAACACACGTGGCAATCGCAGGCGCTCTTCACCAGAGCTCATCCACCGCACGGAGCCGGGAGCGGCCGGAGCAGGACGTGGAGCAGGCAGTGCAGCCCACCTCATCGGCGATGAGCGCCTGGAGGGCCAGGGCGGTGTACAGGCGGCTGCACAGGCGCTCCATGTCCCGCTCATCGGAGATGGGATCGGGCATGTAGGGCCGCCCCTTGCCGGATACGGCCGCGTTTGCCTGCCGGCAGCGCCTGTGCAGGTAGCCCATGGCCGCGCTGTCCTGCGAGATGCCAATGCCACCCAGTGCCTCCCATACCAGCTCGTCCTGCGGTTGAATTGTGCGCCTGGTTGCACGGGTGCACAGGAGGGGGAATGGCAGATGGAAAGTCAGCCGGCTGCAGCTCCCCGCTGCTGTTGCCTCACCTGGGATGCCTCCTGCACCGCCTTGCTCAGCACCTTCCAGTGCTGTGGCAGCATCTGCTGGGTGTGGAACGGCGGCACGCTGAGGTAGCAGAGCTGGAGGTCGCAGAGCAGGCTGAGCCTCCGGCTGAGCCGCAGCATGTCGGCCTGTGCCAGGCAGGGGCACGCGCGGCGGTTGGCGCAGGGCGGGACCAGCAGGTGCAGCAGGGTACCTGTGCTCTGCGGGTGCCAGGCTGGTGTGCTGCCACAGCCCCTCACCCGGATCACCAGCGCTTCTTCCATCGGCAGAGCGGAGGCGACCACTGCCCGCCCCAGCGGCGTGGGCTGGTACTGGTGGGCATCCTTGCTGTACTCAATCATTGCCAGCTCTGCAGCAGCAGCGGCAGGTGAGGCAGGCAAGGCAGGGCTGAAAAAGTGGGCGAGGGTGGCTGCATGGATCAACCGCATGCGCACCTTTCTGGCCGTCTGGCTTGCCCAGCCAGGCAAGCGCGTCCTTCGCTGCTTGCTGCAGGGCCTGCACGCAAACACACACATGCACACAGTCTGGTTTGCAAGCCAGCTGGCACAGGGATGTGTCGCCACCCTGCCGCCCCTCACCTCCATGTCTCTGGCGCTTGCTGCCGCGATGGTGCAGCGGTGCAGGTAGCGGAACACATCCTCCTTGGTGCGCGCCCCGCAGCCGGCCACCGCTTCCAGCATGGCGCCTCGCAGGCCTGCGGCAACCCAGCAAGGGAGGGGAAGGGGGCAGCCTGGCCTGGGATAGCAGGAGCTGGCACCATACAACCTAGAGCAACAGGTCGGCCGCAAGGCGTGTGGGCTGCCAACGCGTACCACTGGGCGTGCCAGCGACTTCCGGCTCCAGGCGGCTCGCCACAGCCTGTGCCACGTCGCTGCTGATGAGCGACAGCAGGTGCTGCCTCGGCGGCGGCTCCCGAGGGTTGAGCACCAGGAACGCCTCGCCCACCTCCTCCAGCCCTTTCCTCCCTGCCCGCCCAGCCATCTGGTGATACCTGCAGCAGCCGGCAGCGCGACACGTCTGCGCCGCCACCAGCCACATGCGGCAGGCAGCGGCCGGATGGAGCAGGGCGGTGCTGCTGCCTCATTCTTCACTCTGCTTACTGCTGCGGGGTGAGCCAGTTGCCCTTGGTTGCCACCCACGCCTGGCGGAAGACGACGCGGAAGGCGGGCAGGTTGACAGAGGAGGAGAGGGTGGTGGTGGTGCAGAGGACGGCCACCGCTCCTTCGCGGTAGGCGTCCGCCACGAGCGCCTTTGCTGTCCCAGGCACCTCTGCACCAGCCAATGCACGGCAGAGGTCACACGCGCGGCACCCGGCCACCAGGAACACACCACCGCGGCCAGCCGCCATTCGCAGCTGCCACTCGGCGGGCTCCACCCGCCAGCTGGCGCTCACTGGAATGATCGTACGCGGCCCCCCCCTCCACCAGCTCTGCCAGCGCCAGCGAGTCTGGGTCCCCCAGCGCGCGCAGCTGGGCAGCGTAGTGCGCCCGTGTGCGCCGCTCACGGCTGCTCTCCCCTGCCGCAGCGCTGCTGCGCTGCTCGGGCGCATGAAGCAGCGTCTTGAGGCGCCTGGCCTCCTGCACCGCCAACGCCTTGGTGGCACAGAACACCAGCACTGCAAATGCAGAGACATGCTAGTAAGCTGCTGGCACAACAAACAAAGCACAACAGCACGCTGGTGCTGGTCCCTTCACACCTGGCTGTCAGGCAACAGGCACCTGTCAGCAGCTTCACCAATCAACTCAAGCCGCCACTCACCCTTGCGCCTCTCATCTACCGCCTCTTGGCATAAAGTCGCTATGCAGAGAGGGTCCTGCAGCACGGTCGCCGGCAGCCGCTGGGGATGCCCGCCCTTGATTGCACGCCACCTTTGCACCCGCCTCCCAAACAACCGACTGACCTTTCCCTTGTCTAGTTGCGGCACCCGTCGTACCACCTTGCCTGTGTTGTCCTCCACCTGCCCACCACACACCTGCAATGAAAAGGCACAGCAGTGCTCAACAGAGGAGGCTGCAATCCTGCCGCAATCAACACTGACACCCTGACGCACTCTCACCAGAAAGTGGTTGAGCGCAATGGGGCGGAAGTCTGTGATATAGCAGCGGGCTCCCAGGCACTTCGCAAAGCTCCCGGGTCCCGGCAGCGTGGCTGACATGCACACAATCTGAAGCCGCTGAGCTGGCGGCAAGAGCGCCTGGCTGCCCCTGGCATTCTCGCAAGATGCGTCGTCGCCGTCCTCCTGCTGCTGCCTCATCTCCTTCTGCGGCTCCTCCTCAGCTGTTCTCTGCTTGTATCTGCAGGGAGAGAAACGATTGTGCTGTCAGCGGCTGCCCTGGCTGATCAGCAACCCTGGGAGGCTGGTCAGCGAACCCCGACGCAGCCCAACCGCGGCCCTCACCTCAGCTTGGCCAGCAGCATCTCATACTGAGCCCCTCGGTGAGAGTCTTGCAGCATGTGTGCCTCGTCCAACACAACGCATGAGAACTCGCCTGCAGCGGCAAGGGTAGGGGGGGTCATTGCGGGGACCCATGCCAGGGGATGCAGCAGACTGGCAGTGGCACGAGTGCAAAACAATGTTAACTTACCGGTTGGATCCACTCCAGAATCTTGCAGCCGGTTGAGCCTTAGAGGAGGAGGCAAGGCAGCCAGGGCAACAGACAATTTGTCAGCATGGGAAACCCGCCGCGGGCCTTTGCAGACGCATGTGAAGGGCTGTTGGATGTGCTGGCAAGCGGAGCTGGGAACGCGGGCGGGCTGGCACTCCAGCATTGGTGACTGCCTGGGCCACTCACAAGCTGTTGGCACTCTCGCATGTGCAGACCAGCACGCCAGTGGAGTGGCCCAGCGGCGCCGCATCGTAGCGCGCGCCATAGAAGCACTTCACCTGCGAATGAAGGTTGGGGCGGTGTATCACAAGGTGTGGGGTTGGGCGGGGAGGGAGGTGCCCAGTGTGAGGCACGCACAGCGCAGCACAGCGCAGCACAGCATGCCTCTCTGCCCATCGCGTCCAGCACCGGCGTCAGGCACTCTGCCTGCTCTTCGCACGCCCGCCTCAGCGGCAAGATCTGCACGAGGCAAGGGACATGTGGTGTTGGGGGGCAACACACTCATCACGCAGTCTGAGCAGCTGCTTCCTCACCAGCAGTGCTTTGCGTTTCTTGTGCCGTGCCAGAGCGCGCAGCATGAGCGTCCACGCCACAATTGACTTGCCGCTGCCGGTTGGGGCTGCACGGCAGACAAACTCTGGCTTGCGTGGCAGCCCGAATGTGGCGTGTGCATACGTGGCTGCGGAGAGGAAAGCAAGGGACGGGGCCTCACCTTGATACACCAGGTTCGTGCCGTGCTCTATCACTCCCGGCAGGTTCAGGCACTCTGCCTGCCAGGCGTAGAGGTCGGTCATGCCGCAAGCCCTGCAGGGAAGAGCCAGGGCGCATGCAGGCAGGGCAGGGCAAGTTGATGGTGGCCAACTCTCCACGGCAGGTCCCCTGCCCGCATTGCGCTGGAAATGGCACACTGTTGCCCACAACCACTCACTCGCGCATGGCATGTGCCACATCATCCGGCAGATAATCCTCCAGCACCACTGGAGGCAGCCAGGACAGCCGCTCGCCGACGCAGGGGCCTGCGCCACCGCCCAATGCCGCGTGCACAGTGCTGCCGCTGCCGCCGCCTGTGCCAGGTCCCCTGCTGGTCCCAGCCGCTGCGCCTTCCTGGGGGGTCGCTGCCTCGGCTGCCTGCGGCTGCAGCTGCGGCGCAGAAGGGCCTGCCACGGCTGCCCCTGCCACGACGGCGGCTGCGGGGGCAGGCATTGGCGACGGCTTTGGTGCGCCCGCTGCATCAGCCTTGGCAGTTTGGGGCGGCACCAATGCCGGTGCCCTGCTCGGGCCAGCAGCTGAAGGTGCCACCAGGGGCACATCCCTGGGCTCTGTACCCTGCTGTCCCTGCAGCTGCTGCTGCTGATGTTGGGGTGGGTGTCGGCTCTGCTGCTGCTGCTGCTGCTGGTGGCGGTGGTGGTCCATCAGTCCACGTGAGGGCAGCAGGTGGCCGGGAGGCGGCATTCCTTGTGACTGGGGGCAGCGCTGGTGCGCTGCCGGTGGCTGGGGCTGCTGCAGCTGCCGCCGCTGCCACAATTGCTGCAGGCTGAAGCGGCGGCCGCTGCCGGATGGCCCAGGCGCTAGCTCCACCTCCATTCCCTCCTGAGATGGGCTTGGGGGCGATCCTGCTGCTGTCCGCTCCTCCACCTCGGCTCTATCCAAGGCCGGCTGTGCCGGTGCTGACACCTCGTCTGTTCCAGCAGCCGCTGGCTGGGATCCAGGTGCCGCCTGCTGCTCCTGCAGGCGCTCCTGCTCCTGCTGCTGCTCCAAGAGACGCAGCCATGGCAAGCCTACGCCGCTGTCGGATGCGTCAGGCTGTGACGCCTGCTCCATGGGCCAGTCGCGAAACAGCGTCCCGAATACCGTAGCGGTCTGCTGCGGCGGCGGTTCGGGTGAGGATGATGGCACAGGAGGCAGGGGGACAGCGGCGGCTGGGCCTGGGCGCGTCACTCGCTGCAGCGTCAGCCGTGGCTTGGGTCTTGCTGGCTGTGCCGGCGAGATTTTGCCCCGACCATCGGCCTCCGCTATGGTGGCGGCCAAGCCCTGCTCCTCAGATCTATGCTGCCCATAGCGCTGATACACGGCAGCAGCTGCATGGAGAGGCGGCGCACATGCCGTGGGCGCAGAACTGCCATTCTGTAACTGCGGTGGCAGTTGCAGCTCAGCCGGCCCAACCTCCACTCTGTCTAGAAGCTCATCGAGCAAACTGGGGACGCGCTGTTGCTGCGGTGTTGCCAGCAGTGGCACGAGTTGCTCAGGCTGCGCCTGACCGCCGCGGTCGGGCTGTCCACTGGCAGGCAGAAGCACTGCCTGCCGCTTTGCTGCTTGCTGCCCTGAACCCTCATCTTCATCACTGGGATCATAGTCCGACCACATCAGGCAACTTCCCAGCTTCCTGCACCAGATGGCGGCGGCAGCGGTGGCGGGGGCGATGAGGGAAATGGTGCCGGGCGATACCGTGGAGAGCACCGCGATGCATGCAGTACTCTCTGGCCCTCGGTCAGGGCAACCCACGCCCTAAGGTGCCCGAGGGAGGGAGGGAAGGCTCCGAGGCTGAGATGGCCTCGGAGCCGCCTGCTCACCATCTCAATCACACGCCATCGTGTTAAAAACTTGCAGGATAGAAGCAAGCACGCTCTGCAGCCCTACAGACGCAGGAATCATTGGCCCCTGCGTTGCGTGCTGTGCTGTGATCAACTCTTAGAACCCCGGCCGGCTACGTCTTTCCTTCGGGCGAGACGGCGGGTCTCAAGTGCTGTGCTCTTCCTTTGGCCAGCCTGACTCCGTCGACTGCAAACGCAATACAAAACTCACAGAAAACGCAAAGTAGCCGAAGATAGATGATACCTGCCGCCTACACCACCCGCCTACACTGCCGCCGCCAGCCGCCGCCGCCGCTGACCCCGCCTCCACAATGTTCTGATGTTTGGATGAGTTTGCGTGACAGGGTACCAGCAGGGAGAACAGCACAAGATGCAGAGCAGCAAGGAAGAGCACAAATCAAATTGGCTAGGGCCAGCGTCCTGGCGTCGTGGCGAGCAGCAAGAGCCCGCCGCACCCGACCGCGGCTGGATCACTCGTTGGGTTGCTCCAGCAGGGCAAAGTTTGTGCCGCTCGAGAAGCCCAGCATCGCATTGTCCAGCTTCTGCCCCTTCTTCTTCTTCTTGCCGCCGGCCGTCTTGGGCACCTGGCACGCCAGGGAGGGACGCATGGTGCAGGCGGGTCAGCCATGCAATCCATCAATGTGCACACATCGCTCCCAAGCATCCCCTGGCAGTGCACGAGAGTGACAGCAACCAGGCTGGGCTGAGGCCCGCCCACCCACCTTCTCCCAGTCCGCATCCTTCTTGGCGGGCTGCGGCTTGGCGGCGGCGGCGCCCAGGGCCGGGAACGCGGCGCCGCCGCCGGGCGCCGCGTAGCCGGGTGGGCCCGCCGCCGGCGCCCTGGCGGCGGCAGGCACGGGGGCCGCCGCCGCCGCGGCCGCCGCCGCCGCCGCCTTGGCCTTGCTCTTGCGCGACTTGCCCTGCTTGGTGGCGGCCGCCGCCTCGGCCAGCTTGCGGCGCATGAACTCGGCGGCAAAGCGAGCCACCTGCGGGACGGGCCAGGGCCGCGCAGGCAGCGGCGGTGAGCTCGCGCGGACCCTAATGCCAGGCTCACATGCGTGGGCATTGCGAGAGGTCCTCCAGCCATGGCCAGCCAACACAGATGCATGCACCCCCTGCTGCGTACCACCACGCGCAGCACAACGCACCGCGGGCGAGGAGCCCAGGTACAGTGTGCAGTACTCTGCCAGCTCGCTGTTGGACTCCACGGTCAGCAGGAACTCGCACAGCGTGACGTCTGGCGCCCCCGTCAGCTCCCGCATCTGGCCCTGGCACCAGGCGCGGAAGGCGCCTGCGGGGGGGGGGCAAAGGCGAGGAGGGCCATCGAGCAGGTGAGCGCGAGAGCCAGGACCGGCGGGCGTGGGGCTGGGCGGAGGCTGGTGGCGCAAGCGGGGGCGGGGCTCCGAAGCGCCGACGTGTGGGCTGCCCGCCAGGGGCAGGCCCCGCGCGCCGCTCACCTGCCAGGGCGCTGGAGCCGTCGCTGGTGGCCTCGCCGACGGCGGCGGCATCCTCAGGCTCCATGGGCGCAGCAGGCGCCGCCGAGGGGATGGCGGCTGCGGCTGGCGCTGCTGCCGGGGCGGGGCGCGCTGGCGGCGGGGGCGCGGCGCGCGGGGCGGGGGCGGGCGGAGGCGCCGGGATGGCGGCGGGCGTGGTGGCCGCCACGGCCGAGGCCCAGCCGGCCGCCTTGGGCGCGGCGGCCGCGGGCTTGCGCTGGGGCGGGGCCACGGCGGCGACCATGGGCTTTGCGGGCGCCGCCGCCCCGGCCTGCACGCCATAGTCCCAAAACAGCCCGGCATCCTCCTCGTTGGCAGCCGCGGCGGCGGCGGCCGGCGCGGCGGCGGCGGCCCAGGCAGGCGCGCCCGTGGCG